CCCTGGGCGCCGCTGCCCAGGCTCCCTGTAGGGCCGACCTTTGGGGCACCCGCTCGGCCTGCACAGGTTATATCCCAAAGCCCCACTGCCAAAGGCCCCATCGAAGAGTGGCGTGTGCACGCGGCCGGGTGGGGGGCGCAGGTGGTCCTGGGCCACCACAAATGCGAGGAAATATTGAGAGTTCGTGTCACTGAGGAGACTCTAAAATTTGCCAGCTGAAGAAAAATGATGGTAGATGTCCAGAAAAGGTTCACATTCATTTTTAAATAAGTTTTATTTATCAGACAACGTTTAATCACTACACTTTGGGTGGAAGTGTTGAAAAACGAGACCTTTGTCACTTAGGTGTCTGAGACTTCAGAAACCATACACAGATCAGGCCTCCAGATGTCTAGATCTTTTTGATACCGTCAACCGTTGTTTTGATGATTCTTTTTTTTTCTTTCGTTTAATGTTATAAAAATGCTGTATTTTCACTAGTGAAAACATGGAAGAGACAGAAAAAACGAAGTTACCCCATAGTCTACTGAAACTGGCCTACTTTTGGTATGTAGTACTCTAATCAGCATTTTTAAAAAATCCTTCAGTAGCCACCTCCAAAAAAAAAAAAAAAAAAAAAAACAACCTGTGGGACTGGACAGGGTGGTGCATTCCTCAAATTCCAGCAACTAGGGAAGCTGAGGCAGGGAGATGGCAAGTTGGAGCCCAGCCTCTGCAATTTAGCAACAGCCAGTCTCAAAAGATAAAAAGGGCTGGGGGTGGAGCCCAGTGGCACAGCACTTGCTTAGCATATTGGAGTTCCTGGGCTCAATTCCTAGTACCACAAAACAAAAATAAAGAAAAATCTATTTTATATTTTAATAAAAATTCAACAGCAATTAAAATGATTCTGAAGAATTGAATACAATACTTTGAAATGAACAGTTCTAATTGTCCTGCTAACCATGGTTTAAGCACGCAATTTTTTTGTTTAATACTTTTTAAAATGCATTTTCCTATAATTAAGTGGTAATATTTACTGATTTAGTAAGATTAGTGCAATGAGTAGAATTTATAGTTTGTTATTTTTGTTGCTTGAGGGAATTGCAGGGTCCTGTTGTGATGCTTTGTGACATAATCTGTGCCAATGAGGCATGTAGATATTAGGTAGATGTGGGGTGACTGGTCATATGTACAGACTCTAAAATATAAGAAAATAAGCCTTTCATTTAAAAATATACATATACTGGCTTTGAAAATGGAGGAAGCTTCCAGGAATCAAGGAATCTGAGTGACCTATGGAAGATGGAAAAGGCAAAGAAACTGATTCTCTGCTGGAGTCTCCAGAAAGGAAAGCTAACAACTCTGTTTTAGCCCAATGAGACAGATGTTCTGACCTCATAGAACTCTAAGATAATAGTGGTAAAGTAACTTGTTATAGCAACCATAAGAAGCTAATATCCCTGGAATGGGAAACAAGGTGGAGTTGTATAAAAGATGTCTTTTAAGCAAACTGAGTTAGGCTTCTTTCATACCAAGTCCACTTTTAAGTATTATAAATTCCAGCTAATATCTTTAGGCTCCTAATTCCAATTTTAAAGAAGAGGTTATAAGGTCCTTGCTTAAACTCTCTCACCTTAAACTCTCTCTCTCCAGAGAACCTATAATTTCTCTCTACCCTCTCTGCCTCCTGTGAAATCTGCCAAAAAACCAATCCCACCTCCAATCTCTGCCCACCTGCCTTCTCTTTACACCAGGCAAGAGGACATCTCTCTTGCTCTGATTGGCAGCTGGATTTCACCCATATGCCCCCAGTCAAGTAGTACAAATTTCTCTGGATACTTGTTGACACCTTCTCAAGTTGGATGGAGGATTTTCGTACAACCAATAAATGTGCCACTATGTTGGCCAACACCCTCGTTGAACACATTCTTCCCTGATTTTACCTCCCCTCCTCAATCCAGTCTGATAATGGTCCTGAATTTACTTCCCATGTTTCACGGTCTGTAGCTAAGGCACTCAACATCTCCTGACATTTTCATATACCCTACCATCCTCATTCCTCTGGCAAGGTGAATGTACCAACCAGACCTTGAAGAACATTCTCACTAAACTATCCCTTGAATTACATTTCAGATTAGACTAAACTCCTTCCTTTGGCTCTTAGGTTAGGTTCCCAAAGAAGCCACTCAACATCTCCCCTTTGGAGCTTCTATATGGATGGCCTGTCTCCCTGCTCAGCTCGCCAACTTCTGATTCTCTACTACCCCTTGCTCATTATCTTTTCTGGCCCCTTCTGGCATACATTAGGAACCTTCTTTGACAATACAGTAATGCTGTTTTGGCAAAGCCTAGTTCTACCTCTTCCCCTTCTCCCACTGTCTCCTGGCAACCTGGTACTTTTTAACCCCCCAAACAGGCTCCTTTTCTCCTCACAACTCTCCACAAAATTAACTGGACTCTATTAGGTCATTCTTATCACTCCCTCAGCGGCCCACCTTGAGGGTTTATAATTCCCATTTGAAAGGGTGGTTTTCCCCACCCTTTTATACAGTGACGCCCACAGGCCTTCTCAGACTGTGTTTCTCCAAGGCCAGAACCCCCTAATCTTCCTTCGGTCTCTGAGGACCACGAGGACACTGCAGAACCATGAGTACCATCTTCTCTTTTTAATTTTTGCCCTCCTCCCTTACTCTGCACTCACCTCCCAGGGGTACCATTTTTAGGAATTATCATTCCAATTTCTAGGAGACTTATAGCAACTTGCCCAAACCATACTAACCATACAATCCCAGCTTGATTCTTTAGCTGCTGTGGTTCTGCAGAATTGAAGGGGCCTTGATCTTTTTATGGCCAGAAAAGGTGGACTTTGTATCTACAGAAGGAATGCTATTTTTATGTCAATCAACCTGGTATAGTAAAGGACAAGATAAAACAACTCCAACAGAACCTTGAACATGCGAAAGAAACATCAGCTCTCTTTACAGAAGGATAGCAGCTAAATAACCCCCTTCTCCAGTGGGCGCTTCCTTTCCTGACCCCTCTTCTTGTCATAGACCTTCTGTTAATGCTTGCCCCCTGTGTCATTAGATTCATTCAAGACCAGATACAAAAATCTCTAAGCAAACCATAAACCAGCTTTTGTTACAGGAATACCAATCCCTCACCAAAAATTGGGGCATCAGGGACAGCATTCCACCACCACTCAACCTCATCTATCATTCCAATAACATTTCATGCCCCTAATGAGGGATTCAAAGGCTACTGCTTCCCCACAGGAAGAAGTTATAGAAGATTGACCCAGGTCCCTATTCCCTAAAGGGCCCAATAAAAACAAAAAAGGGTGAATATAAGGTCCTTGTTTAGCATCTGAAGAACTATCTTAAGTGACAGCTACCATTTTAAGGAAAAAGTTTCACTTTCCCGCCCAAGTGCCTTTCTGAGAAAAGCTCACCATTCCTTCATATGAACCCAGCCCTTAACTGCCCACATTAGGGCCCTCCTGGCTCTGGTTCCTGAGCCTCACCCATAAAACTCCCAGAACTCAAGCTTGTTTTGCCTCTCTCCTATTGAGAGACGGCCTTTATTTGTCAGCTCTGACAAACTCTCTTGTGTATCTCTGCCTGGTCTCCGTCTTTAATTTCTCTCTCACCTATCTCTCATTCCTCACTTTCCCTTCAAAGGTTTGGATTAAATCAATGATTCTCAGACTTTAGCATGCATAATTATCACCTGGAGAGCTTATTAAAACAAATTATAGTATTTTTCCCTACTTCCAGAGTTTCTGATTAAGTGGGTCTGGAGCAGGACCAGAGAAACAGCATTTCTACCAAGTTTCCAAATGATCCAAATGTTGCTGATCACAGGCATACTGTGAGAATCACTAGGTTCAACAATCTCTAAATTCCTTTTCAGTTCAATCATTCTGATTCTATGAATGTATAACTGAAATTATCAATTCCCACATTCAAGTATATATTAAGATACTTTCTAAAATCATTGTTCTTCCATGTGAATATGATGAATTAAGAATGGTTAGTGCCATGCATCCCATTAGAAATTTTCAAGTTTAGGACATACCCTTGAAACTTGGTGTACTTAGTATATTTACAAATACTCAATTAGCAGCCCTTCTGTATTTACACACACACACACACACACACACACACACACACACA